CATTTGACGGAAACCTTAAAAGTGAACTAACTGACTGCTAGGGTTAACTTTGATTTAAACATTTGTAGAATACTAAGAGCTTTATTGAGTAGGTGTAACTGTATTAAGGGTTAAACTCATAACTTTATAACTTAGGGTTTAATGTAATTGACTTAAAAGACAATAAGAAATCAGGACGAAGCCAGTCTCGATTTCCTTTTGAGGGCCTCCAGCTGCAGAGTTAACTAATTAAAGGGGCGTGGCCCCACAGCTGTGAGAACTCAGCAATCAGGTGTCCATTTTAGGTAGCACTTTCCTGGAGCGTCAGCTTCAGCGTCAGACAGGCTAAGACTGACAAAGACATTAGAGTCCTACAGGAGTCAAGACTGACAAAGACATTAGAGTCCTGCGGGAGTCACAGACTGACAAAGACATTAGAGTCCTACAGGAGTCACGAGGGAGGCAAAGAGGAGGCAAATCCTACTCTGATTGAGCTAAGTATCGCTGGTGTTTTTATTTTGTTTTATTTTATTTGGTTGTTTAGCCCCTCAGGCTATAATCATGTGTATTTTCTCCATTCCTGTTCATGTGTCTTCTCGCAATTATCACTGGCCCCGTGTATCTCGTAATCGATATAACCGGCTTGCTCTCGTCTATCCCACGTGCTCCACTGAGATCCAACATCTAGTTTCAGGCGGCCTGTGGAACTGCCAGTCAGCTGTTCCTAAGGCTGACTTCATCTCTGGCTACGCCTCCCTGCAGTCTCTGGATTTCCTTGCTCTCACTGAGACCTGGATTACTCCATCCAACACATCCACCCCAGCAGCTCTCTCCACAGCATATTCCTTCTCCCATACACCCAGACCCACTGGCAGAGGAGGTGGCACTGGTCTCCTGCTCTCTCCCAAATGGAGCTTTTCCCTCTTCAAGCTACCTAACTTCACTCCTTACACCTTTGAATTCCATGCCGTCACAGTAACCCATCCTATACAGTTAACCATTGTTGTTCTCTACCGTCCACCAGGCGCCTTGGGGGACTTCTTGGAGGAATTAGATAATCTCCTCTCACTCATCCCTGAAACTGGCCCTCCCGCTGTACTTCTCGGAGACTTCAACCTCCAGACGGGGAAGATAGACGAACTAACATCTCTGTTAACCGCCTTTGCTTTCTCACTGTCTCCATCCCCACCGACTCATAAAGCTGGCAATGTCCTTGATCTCATATTCTCAAGGAACTGCGCTACTTCTAACCTCTCTGTAAACCCGCTCCACACATCCGATCACTTCTTCATTTCATTCTCTCTACCCCCTTTCCAAACATAACAAACTAATCTCTTCTCATCCTGCACTTGTCCGCCGTAACCTTCGCTCCCTCTCCCCCTCTACCTTTGCCTCGTCGGTGCTCTCAGCCCTCCCTTCCTCTGACTCGTTCCAACTCCTGCCTCCAAACTCTGCTGCAGAAACTCTCCTCTCTACTCTCTCATCCACTCTGGACTCGCTCTGTCCTCTGACATCTCGGCAGGCTCGTCAGTCCCCTCCTGCTCCCTGGCTAAATGATGCACTGCGTGCTAATAGAACCGTCCTTAGGGCAGCAGAGCGGAAATGGTGGAAATCCAAACACCGTGACGACCTCCTAACCTATCAGGCTCTCCTCTCCTCTTTCTCTGCTTCGATCTCTCAGGCAAAAAGCACTTTCTTTCAAGATAAGATCCAATCTTCCTATTCCAATCCTAAAAAACTATTCTCCATCTTCTCCACCCTCCTGGACCCCCCCAAAGCCCCTTCCCCCTCCTCACTTCTGTCAAGCGACTTTGTTACCCACTTTGAAAAAAAGGTTGATGATATTCGCTCTTCTTTTTCTGACTCACCTTTACTCACCGCTGGGTCACCAGACCCTCCTTCCACCAACACACTTACCTCCTTTTCCCCTCTCTCTCCAAGTGAGGTTCTTACCCTCATTACCTCTGCCCGCCCTACCACCTGTCCTCTGGACCCTATCCCTTCAAACCTCCTTCAGACTATCGCTCCTGATATTCTACCGTTTCTCACCCATTTCATCAACACTTCTCTAACTTCTGGTCACTTTCCAAACAGTCTCAATGAGGCAAGAGTGAACCCTCTCCTAAAGAAACCCACTCTCAACCCGTCTGATGTTATAAACTACAGGCCTGTCTCTCTCCTCCCGTTTCTGTCTAAATCACTTGAACGCGCTGTCTTTAAACAACTCTCCTGTTATCTCCATCAGAACAACCTTCTGGATCCGCACCAGTCTGGTTTCAAGGCAGGTCACTCCACAGAAACTGCTCTCATTGCTGTCACGGAGGAACTGCACACTGCCAAAACTGCATCCCTCTCCTCTGTCATCATCCTGTTGGACCTGTCTGCTGCATTCGACACGGTGAATCATCAGATCCTCCTTCGCACTCTCCAAAAACTTGGAGTTTCAGGCTCTGCACTTTCCCTCCTCACCTCATACCTGAAAGACCGTACCTACAGGGTGACTTGGAGAGGGTCTGAGCCCGACCCTTGTCAATTAACTACGGGGGTCCCTCAGGGCTCTGTTCTCGGTCCCCTCCTCTTCTCCCTGTACACAAACTCGCTCGGATCAGTCATTAGCCCGCATGGTTTTTCATACCACTGCTACGCTGACGACACCCAATTAATTCTGTCCTTTCCCCGCTCAGAGACCCAGGTCGTCGCACGCATCTCTGCTTGTCTAGCTGACATCTCTCAGTGGATGTCTGCTCACCACCTCAAGCTCAACCTTGACAAGACTGAGCTGCTCTTCCTCCCGGGAAAAGATTGTCCCACTCTTGACCTAACAATCAACATCGGCACCTCAGTTGTTTCCCCGACTCAGACTGCAAGGAATCTGGGTGTGACCCTAGATAACAACCTGTCCTTCACTGCAAACATCGCTGCTACAACCCGTTGCTGCAGATACATGCTTTACAACATCAGGAGGATGCGTCCCCAGCTGACCCAGAAAGCGACTCAGGTTCTGGTCCAGGCTCTCGTCATCTCACGCCTAGACTACTGCAACTCCCTCCTGGCTGGTCTACCTGCATGTGCCATCCGACCTCTGCAGCTCATCCAGAATGCAGCGGCTCGTCTGGTCTTCAACCTTCCTAAATGTCTCCCACACCACTCCGCTCCTCCGCTCCCTTCACTGGCTTCCGGTAACTGCTAGAATCCACTTCAAGACACTGGTACTTGCTTACCATGCTGCGAATGGATCTGGCCCTTCCTACATCCAGGACATGGTTAAACCGTACACCCCAGCGCGTGCACTACGCTCTGCATCAACCAAACGACTCGTTGCGCCCTCGCTGCGAGGGGGACCCAAGTTCCCAACGGCGAAAACACGTGGGTTTGCTGTCCTGGCTCCAAGATGGTGGAATGAGCTCCCCATTGACATCAGGACAGCAGATAGCTTACACACCTTCCATACTGAAAACTCATCTCTTTCGACTCCACTTCGAGCGATAGAACTATTAACGAAGCACTTTTATACTAATAAAGGACTGGCTTTTCTAAAGCTTTGGATAAAAGCGTCAGCTAAATGCAATGTAATGTAAATCGGCAATTTGATAAAAAAAAGGCCGATACCGATAATCAGTCAAATGCGCAATATCGGCCACGCCGATTATCGGTCGACCCCTAGTGTGTACCTGCTGTGTGTAAATGTGTGTGTGTGTGTACCTGCTGTGTGTATATGTGTGTGTGTGTACCTGCAGTGTGTGTATGTGTGTGTGTGTACCTGCAGTGTATGTGTATTTGTGTGTATATGTGTGTGTGTGTGTGTGTACCTGCAGTGTGTGTATATGTGTGTGTGTTAGTGCTGTAGCGACGCGTCGACGACGTCGACTTCAAAATATCGTCGACGACATATTTCCGCGTCGACGCGTCGCTACACACACGTGGGTCACCCAAAGCAACAAGCAGTTCGCAATCGCACTTCAAACACAATGGAGACTGAAACGGCTATCACCTCCTCCTCACAGGATTGCGCACGAAGCCCTCAAACGAAAACATCTCGCCCCAGGTCTTCAAAAGCATGGGAATATTTTAAAGTTAGTCCAAAACGCAAAGATATTTATATATTTATATCTCACTGAGACTGCTGCATAGCCTAGCAGAAGCAGCAGCTAGCTGTGGTGGCTACCATTAGCAGCTAGCATTTGCTCTCCGATTGTTACATAAAATGGAATTATGGATTATAAATTCAATAATTTTTTTATACATAGACGTTAAAAACCTATGGATTAACCGATTCAGCCGCGTTTTTTCTCATTTTAATGCCATTGAACACGTCTTTTGATCAGATTGACAGCTACGGTGGTGAGACGATCTCCCGAGAAGCTCCGAGAAGCTCTGTGAAGGTACGTGTTGTGATGACTGTATTTGCTTCGCCTGTCACGAGTCCGGATCACTCAGTGATGATACTATATACCTACATAATCTGTGGAGTCTCAGCTTTAATCGGATATATTGTAAGTGCAGCTACGATAAGTAATAAGGGTACTTTTATCTTGAGTTCTGTGCCAATGTCCGTTAGCATTTTTCGCTCAGGGGTCATTTAGATGCTTCTTATGAGACTTGTGTTTTGTTTTGGTAAACATGGTTTGTATCGGCAGTTAGCTGAGATTATTCCCGTTAATCTATTATTCCCGTTAATCTAACACATTAATAGGTTATTAAATATTAAGATCCCCTGAGACACTGTATCGTGAAAAAATTTTTTTTTACATTACGTTTTTTTTACATTACGTTTTTTATGAATTGAACAACAGAAAAATAATCGTTCGATTAGTCGACTAATCGATCAAATAATCGCCCGATTAATCGTTTTCAAAATAATCGTTTCCCCCCAGCACTAGTGTGTGTGTACCTGCAGTGTGTGTATATGTGTGTGTGTGTACCTGCAGTGTGTGTATGTGTGTGTGTACCTGCAGTGTGTGTATATGTGTATGTGTACCTGCAGTGTGTGTGTGTGTGTGTGTGTGTGTGTGTGCGTGTACCTGCAGTGTGTGCGTCCTCTCTGATTTTCTCCAGGTCTTCGGTCTCCAACATGTCCGCCTGCTCCTGACACAACGTCTTATTAGTAATTAATCCTAAAAAGTCTTAACGAAATCTGAGTCTTAACGAGTCCCGAGTTTCAACGAGTCCCCAGTCTCAACGAGTCTTGAGTATTAACCAGTCCCCAGTCTCAACGAGTCCCCAGTCTCAACCAGTCCCGAGTCTCAACCAGTCCAGAGTCTCAACGAGTCCCGAGTCTTAACCAGTCCCAACGAGTGCCGAGTCTCAACCAGTCCCCAGTCTCAACCAGTCCCCAGTCTCAACGAGTCCCCAGTCTCAACGAGTGCTGAGTCTAAACCAGTCCCCAGTCTCAACGAGTCCCCAGTCTCAACGAGTCCCGAGTCTTAACCAGTACCGAGTCTCAACCAGTCCAGAGTCTCAACCAGTCCCCAGTCTCAACGAGTCCAGAGTCTTAACCAGTCCCCAGTCTCAACGAGTCCCCAGTCTCAACGAGTCCAGAGTCTTAACCAGTCCCCAGTCTCAACGAGTGCTGAGTCTCAACCAGTCCCAACGAGTCCCCAGTCTCAACGAGTCCAGAGTCTTAACCAGTACCGAGTCTCAACCAGTCCCGAGTCTCAACCAGTCCCCAGTCTCAACGAGTCCCGAGTCTTAACCAGTCCCCAGTCTCAACCAGTGCTGAGTCTCAACCAGTCCCCAGTCTCAACGATTCCCTAGTCTCAACGATTCCCCAGTCTCAACCAGTCCCCAGTCTCAACCAGTCCCGAGTCTCAACCAGTCCCAACCAGTCTCCAGTCCCAACCAGTCCCGAGTCTCAACCAGTCCCGAGTCCCAACCAGTCTCCAGTCTCAACGAGTACCAACCAGTCCCGAGTCTCAACGAGTCCCGAGTCTTAACCAGTCCCCAGTCTTAACCAGTCCCCAGTCTCAACCAGTCCCCAGTCTCAACGAGTCCCGAGTCTTAACCAGTCCCCAGTCTCAACCAGTGCTGAGTCTCAACCAGTCCCCAGTCTCAACGATTCCCTAGTCTCAACGATTCCCCAGTCTCAACCAGTCCCCAGTCTCAACCAGTCCCCAGTCTCAACGAGTCCCGAGTCTTAACCAGTCCCCAGTCTCAACCAGTGCTGAGTCTCAACCAGTCCCCAGTCTCAACGATTCCCTAGTCTCAACGATTCCCCAGTCTCAACCAGTCCCCAGTCTCAACCAGTCCCGAGTCTCAACCAGTCCCAACCAGTCCCCAGTCTCAACCAGTCTCCAGTCCCAACCAGTCCCGAGTCTCAACCAGTCCCCAGTCTCAACCAGTCCCCAGTCTCAACCAGTCCCCAGTCTCAACCAGTCCCGAGTCTCAACCAGTCCCGAGTCCCAACCAGTCTCCAGTCTCAACGAGTACCAACCAGTCCCGAGTCTCAACGAGTCTCAACCAGTCCCGAGTCTCAACCAGTCTCCAGTCTCAACCAGTCTCCAGTCTCAACCAGTCCCCAGTCTCAACCAGTCCCGAGTCTTAGGGTCCGTTCACACCTGCCTTGTATAGTCCGGTTGAATCTAACCCTGGTGCGTTTAGCCGCTTGGTGCGGTTCATTTGGGTCGGTGTGAACACAATCCGAGACCTCTGAAGTGAACTAAACAACCGGACTCTGGTCCGCTAAAATAGGTGGTCTCGGAGCGCTTGCTTGCGAATTCTGGTGCGGTTCATTGCTGGTGTGAACGCAGTCCGCACCAAAACATAGGAACCTCTCAACCAGTCCCTAGTCTCAACCAGTCCAGAGTCTCAACGAGTCCAGAGTCTCAACGAGTCCCCAGTCTCAACGAGTCCCCAGTCTCAACGAGTCCCGAGTCTCAACCAGTCCCGAGTCTCAACCAGTCCCGAGTCTCAACGAGTCCCGAGTCTCAACGAGTCCCCATTCTCAACGAGTCCCCAGTCTCAACGAGTCCCCAGTCTCAACGAGTCCCGAGTCTCAACGAGTCCCCAGTCTCAACGAGTCCCCAGTCTCAACGAGTCCCGAGACTCAACCAGTCCCGAGTCTCAACCAGTCCCCAGTCTCAACGAGTCCCCAGTCTCAACGAGTCCCCAGTCTCAACGAGTCCCCAGTCTCAACGAGTCCCCAGTCTTAACGAGTCCCGAGTCTCAACGAGTCCCCAGTCTCAACGAGTCCCCAGTCTTAACGAGTCCCGAGTCTCAACGATAGATTCATTGGAGTTTCCTCACCTTTTTGTCGGCGCTGACGGTTTTACTGACGAGCTTCTTCAGGATCTCCACCCTCTTGTCCGCTCGCTCCTCCAGCAGCTCCTTTTCCTTCTCCAGTCGCTCGCTGACACACACACACACAATTATACCCTGACACAGACAGGTGCAGATTGCAGGTGTTTCTGGTCACATGACCTCCTTACCTGTAGTCCTTCTTCATCGTGTTATAGAGCTCCATGAACTCAGAGCTGACCTCCTCTCTGATCTGAGCCTCGAGGAGGAGGCGCAGCGCCGCTTCGCCGTCACCCTGACACACACACACACATATTATTATACACACAAACATTATTATACACAAACATTATTATACACACACACGCATATTATTATACATACACAGCAATATTATACACACAGCGCCATGAGTCAACCAGCACGCCACACACACACGTTGGAGGAGCCGGGCACTTTAGATTGTAGCTGCTGTGCGTTTGATGATTAAAAGTTTCTTTATTTGAATAACATTTTATATTTCTTTGTATTGTATTTCTTTATTTCACCTGGTGTGTCCCCTATATACAAATAGCGGCGGCGCAGCTTTTTGTATTTAAAAAAAAATTAAAATAATAATATTAGCTGCTGCTAATTGGCCATCTTTGTCTGCTCGCAGACAGACCATTTATTTTATTTATAAATCTCTGCTTGGGCTGGTTCCCTCCTCCATTTGCACATATATGAGTCCAAGAGAAAGTCTGTCTGGCCTGCGCTCCCAAGATGTGATTCAGATGCTGGCTCCTACAGTGAGAACAGAACATGCTGCCCCACAGCTGGGAGCAGAAGGAGCTGAAACTCTCAGATGGAATCACTGTGGGGGAATTCAGGTCCATCCTAAAGGACAGAGGACACGACACCATTGGTAGATATGAGTGCTCGTATATCCTAAAATCGTTTGAAATGTTGCCAGTTTTGAATGATTTTAATAGTTTGTTTATTGACTGGCTAATGTGCCATTTGATTTGTGTTTTACAGCTGTGTTCGTCTGTGTGTTATCTGGTGTAACTTCGAACATGCTGCCCCTCTTGGCCAGGTCACTGTTGGAAAAGAGATTTTAATCTCAATGAGTCTTTTACCTGGTTAAATAAAGGATATAATAAGTGGCGACCCTTTTTCCTTTTTGATTGTTTGTTATGTGGATTCGTGGTATTTGTGTTACTGTATGTTCAATAAAGGTGTATTTTTGCTAAATCTTGAGACATTGCCACTGTATGTACTGGCAGGGCCGATTTTTGGCTAGGGCGCCAGATCTGGGGGGCTGGCAGCTCTGGGAGGGGAAAAAACATGTTTGACCGTTGGGGCTCATCCTAATGTTCGGCCTTGATGTAACAACATTCATAATTAAGTAAATGTAACACCCTTTTCACCCCGGTTACACGTTTCATTGGCCCTGTACGATGGGCGCTGCAAGTGATGAAAGTGGGGGATGTTGGCTTATCTGGCGCCCGCAGATCACAGCCAAAGTGCGAGCGAGAGAGATGGCGCACCGGTACCGGCGCTGTTGTTATTAGAATCTGGTAGGGGTGTAACGGTACACTTCGGTACAGGTGTGTACCGAAGTGTACCGAACGAATATAACGTTAAACGTAAAAAATTGAGAACGTGAACAACTTTTTGGAAGTAATCTCAGGTGCTGCGTCGCAGCATTCAGAGTAATTTGCTCACATTGGGTTCAACGCGTCATAGAGCGAGCAAGTCATTTCATTGGATGAGAGGTCAGAGGGATGCGTTCAAATGTAGTCAGTAATTTGAGGAACTGTCAAAAATTAATGGCGAACGCAGATAAAGTTGAGCTGAAAATCCTCCAGCATCATTGAAGTCTCCGGTTTGGGAACATTTTGGTTTCACAGTTACGTACAAGGATGACGGACAAAGACAGGTGGACCGAACCAAAGCTGTTTGTCGGCATTGTTCAACTAACATTGGTTACGCGGCTGGCAATACATCAAACTTGCACACTCATTTGAAAGGCATCACCCGAACGTGAATATCACCGGTACCAAAAGAAAAAAGACTGAAGTGCAAACCCAACTCCCACTAGCATTTAAGCCTCCACCACTCGCAGAGAGTTCAGACCGAGCCAAAGCTATTACAAACACCAAATATCCTTATGTTGCCATGTTAGCAAAGCGCTACCTGGCTGTTTCTGCTACCTCTGTCCCTAGCGAGAGGGTTTTCTCCACATCAGGAGACATTGTTAGTGCCAGCAGATCTGCCCTTTCGGCAAGCAATGTGGACAGGTTCATCTTTCTTTAAAAAAACATGAAAATACAATGACAAGCAAGTCCTAATGTCAAGCTGGCTGCTTAGGAACTAGTACAGTACAGTTCAAATACAGATTATTTCAGTTCATCGAAAAGCTGCACCTTAATGTTTATTTTATTATATTTTGTATTATTTTGAGTGAATATTCACAGTTTAATAATAATTAAAAACCCAAAACTAATAGTTTATGTTTTGTGAGTACTAGTACAGTAAAGTTCAAATACAGATTATTTCAGTTCATCGAAATGCTGCACCTTAATGTTTATTTTATTATATTTTGTATTTATTGAGTGAATAAATTATTCACAGTTTAATAAATAATAAATATATATATATGTTTTGTTTTGTGAAAAAAAATTCTGCTGTACCGAAAACGTACCGAACCGAACCGTGACCAAAAAACCGAGGTACGTACCGAACCGAAATGTTTGTGAACCGTTACACCCCTAGAATCTGGTGCTAGCTGCTCTAACGGATATAAGAAGTAGATGTTTCTACAACCAGGGTGGAGGAGAGCTCTCCAGTCAGACTGAGAGGCTGATCACTACAGCTCAGTGAGGTGAAGGTGTACCAGATTGAAGCATTTCACTTTAAAATGTTCAAAACATCTTCCCGGGGGGGCATACCCCCGGACCCCGCTAGAGGATGAGACGTCCACCCCCCAATTCAAACATGTTCATACAATACTGAATACATTTGAAGCCTTTTTGACGTATATTACCAACATGTCAATACGTTTCTGGTTTTGTAGTGTATTTGTCTCTTGTAGAGATTTTTCATTTATTCTTTATTAAATCTCGCCTAGAGCAGCAAATAGTCTGGAACCGGCCCTGGTGCTACGCCTCGAGAGCCTTTCTTGTGCTGGCAGACACATAGAAACAAATTGGCGGCCGCACTTCGCACACACTAAGAAATTCCACGCGCTCACATTGTGCCTTAGCTGCTATGACTCCATCCTGGGGGAAACACTGGGAACCTGAACATTCAGAACCAGCTTTATCACCAGGTACGAGGGATTTGACTTGGTGTCGTGGTGCAGACATAAAAGTAAAACTAAAAAACACAGATACAACTATTTTAAGAACACTATAATAAAATTACAACAAAAAAAAAGACTAAAAATAAAGCAGTATTTACATTGGAATAGAATATGGTCCTGTCCCCCTCCTCTTCCTCCTCGTCTTCCTCTGCTCCGGCCTCCAGCACTGTTCCCTCCATGGGACTCTCCTCTTCTTCCTCCTCTTCTTCCTCCTCCTCTTCCTCCTCTCCCCCGTCCTCCATCACGTCCTCCAGACTTGTCTCCCAGGCCACCATCGAGCTCTTCCTCTTTGTCCTGCGCTGCTCCGCCTCATCCATGATCAGAGACACTTCCAGAGCCGACCTGTGGGGGGCGCCGTCCACCGGCAGCGGCCTGGAGCTCAGCAGCACCACCTGTAGAGGGAGAGGAGGGTGTTTAACACAAGCCCCCAGGAAGTGCGCCGGACTCTGAGGAAAATATTTGTGGTGGCCAAACGGCGGTACTACACTTCCGTATCAGTCGCTGGGCCCGGAGACACTTTTTAAAGAGACGTCTGTAAATCGGTGGATCATTTTTAAACTAAATAAACGACCCAGTGTGAACATTTGTTCTTATTAAAACATTCGGTCCTCAAGTTGTAAAATTTGCTAATAACGTTATTCTGAGAGTTATTTCCCTCTGCATTATGAACGCGCATCTAACCCACGGGACCGCGCAGCCCGGCACGTTCATGTGGCGTGTTCAGCACTACATACGTTTCTCTTTACCCATGGACGCACAATAACAACGATTATATGAATACTTTCGTGAATTTTCGCTCTCTCAACAATTGGGCCATTTTGTCTTCATGCACCAATGAGCAACTCTCAAAGGAATGAACGAGGCCCCGCCTCCCACGCTGAATCCAGTTCTTATTAGATATCCAGGGTTCAACAGTCTGATGGCCAGTGGGAGGAAATGGTCTCTGAGCCTGGGGCTTTTCGTCCTGATAGGAGGGTTTCCTACCAGAGAAACAACTAAAGGCCCTACACACCAAGCTGACACCAGATAACACGTCCCGACGGACACGACTGTTGTGTCGCCTCACGTCTCTGCGTCTTGGCCAACAGTCGCACTGGAACACACCGCAAAGACTTCAGCCGACGGCCAAGTAGCACGTACGCATGCGTGAGTGGCAATACCTCTCCTTACCAGCAGGCGGCGGTAGTGTGTATTCATCATTCAGAAGAGGCAACCAGAAGACAGGCTGCGTGATATATACAAACAACAAATAGCTCCATGCTACAGCTCGAGCCAAGCAGCACAGGGATGAGCTAAGCCAATATGTTAACAGCGTCGGTGCAGTGGCTTTTCAGCCTGGCAAGATATAGCAAATATGTGCCTTTCCTGCTATTTGGGTTCATTCTTTTAATCACACAGCGTTAAGATTAAATTAAAATGTGCCTACATAACTGTCAGTTGCAGCCGGAGCATTATTATTGGTTTAACTACTAACAGTATATTTTTAACACATTTGAAAATGACCATCTTGAACAGCTACAACGTTAAAATACTGCAGATTGTGGACAGTAACAAAGTACATTTACTTAAGTACTGTACTGCTCCACTCCCATTCAGGCAAATAGTGTTTCGCTAAGCTGAACAGCCAATCGGAGAGATTTATTTTGCCGCAGCCGATTCAACAAGGTGAATCGGCCGCGGAAGGTGTCGGCACGGCCGAAAAGACACGACGGGGTGACAGGACGCTCATCGAAGGCCAGACATCTATCGACGGCCATGATAAGACCTGAAACTTCGGACCCCTGGGAGTTCAGATATGTCCACTTTCTGGTTTAAACCTTCTCAGATTTCTCAATTTGTACAGAAATGTAAGTTTTCTCCAAATTAGCTTTTTTCAGAATTTTCTAAAATGTTGACTTTTTTCAGATCTTTCTCCAAATTTGACTTTTTCAATTTTTCAAAACTTTTTTCCAAATGTCCATTTAAAAAAAAAAAAGTTTTACCCGCAGCTTACTCGGAATTTGACTTTTCAGAATGTTCTCAATTTGAATTTCTTTTGGTGAGTCAGCGTACATCTTATACCATCATCTAGAAAGAGTTGATCATCTGACCTTTTGGGCGAGAGCGGAGAACTTGAGGACGTTCAGCGTCTCGTCGAAACACGCAGAGTTCCTGCTGATGTTCACCACCATGGAGACGCGCCCGGCACCACAGAAGAAGAACTGCAGGAAGTGAGTCAGCTTCGACTCCCTGAAGGGAACGTGGTGCTGGATCCTGAAACAAACACCAATTCATCATTACTCACCAATTACTGTGAGTGTGTGTGTACTTGGCATGCTGGTTGACCCTCATGGCACTGTGTGTGAGTGTGTGTGTGTGTACTTGGCATGCTGGTTGACCCTCATGGCACTGTGTGTGAGTGTGTGTGTGTGTACTTGGCATGCTGGTTGACCCTCATGGCTCTGTCTGTCTGTGTGTGTGTGCTGTGTGTGTGTGTGTGTGTGTGTGTGTGTGTGTGTGTGTGTACTTGGCATGCTGGTTGACCCTCATGGCTCTGTCTGTCTGTGTGTGTGTGTGTGTGTGTGTGTGAGTGTGTGTACTTGGCATGCTGGTTGACCCTCATGGCTCTGTCTGTCTGTGTGTGTGTGTGTGTGTGTGTGTGTGTGTGTGTGTGTGTGTGTGTGTGTGTGTGTGTACTTGGCATGCTGGTTGACCCTCATGGCGCTGATGCACTTCCCCAGCGTGAGCAGAGAGGTGTTGATGTTACCCGCCTCCTTCAGACGCTCCCCGCTGTTCTGAGTCCGCGAGCAACGCTCAGAGCCGGCCAGGTCACACAGAGACAGCCTGAAACACACACACACACACATTATTATACTATATACAGGTCACACAGAGACAGCCACACGCACACACACACAGATTACAAACAATAATTTGATTTATAAGCGCACTTTCATTTGAATGAACAAAACTCAAAGTGCTTCAGAATAAAAAAAGTAGCAAAAAACAATCTAAATAATCAATGATTGATTATTTGATTATTATTTGATGGCATTCTGTCGCCTCCCTCTAACCCTCTCTCTGTTAATGTTCTCTCACTCGCTGATCCCCAGGACTCTGGGAACGCCGGCGTCTGCGATGCGCAGGATTCTGATGGAGAAGATGCTGTGGCTGCAGGACGACACAGAACACCTGGTATTAATATACTGATCAAAACAACGCGAGTCAACATTTCATGTTTTTCAGAATTTCAGAATTAGATTTTAAAATGTTCAAAAGATTTGACATTTCCGAAGTTTCTAAAAAAAAATACTTTTCACAGAATTCTCTAAAAATTAAAAAGTGTTCCTATAATTTCTGAATTCTTTACTTTTGTTCAGGATTTCCCCAAAAATTTGACTTTTCAACATTTTTTCATACTTTTCTGAAAATGAAATGTTTTCCAAAATGTTTCTTTTCTCAAAGTGTGACTTCTGTCTGGAGCTACACGTCCAGCGCAGCCCTTCACTTCTTAAATCAGCTCAGAGTCTGATCACTGCGCTGCAGCAATATATCGGTTTACGTAAAACATATTTGTATTCCTGCACTCTAACGGCATGTTGAAGTATGAATGCTTGTTGTTTGTTGTCTCCTCCTGGTTTGTGATGGCACCTTGAAAGAGGAGCAGCTCTTCTCCTCTCGTACCTGGATAATGAGAATCAGGGATTCTATCTATTCTGTGAACCATTATGTTTGAGCACCTCCTGCTGGACAGACTGTTGAGGCGCGTGGAGGAGAAACTCTGGTTCTTCCTCCCGATCTTCATCACTCTGTACGCCTCCTCGGAGCTGCTCGCCTGCACCCAGCGCAGGTCTGCACACAGAGGGCGTTTAGTTTGAGATGCAGCACAACACAAAACACAAACACATATAATGAATTAAAAACTAACCCTGAGAGATGTGACGGAAAGATAATATCTAATATCTGGCATTCAAATAATGTCTGATTAGAAATCTCATTATCTTTCAAGATTCAAGGCTTTTTTTGTCATGTTTGCTTCTCTATTGCAAACGGATGCATGTTATGGCTGTCACTGCAGTGTGTTATAAAACAGCTTTACCTGCAGAGCGTATTCAATGTAATCACCTTTGATGAAGGAGTTCCCCTTGACGTCCTGGGACAGACGCAGCACCGTCCTCCTCTGCTGTCCGCTGGGGACCTGAACGCCACACAGACATCTTTAACTGTTGTAGTGTGTGTGTGTGTGTGTGTGTGTGTGTGTGTGTGTGTGTGAGCGTTTGTGTGTGAGCGTGTGTTACCTGTTCCAGCAGGTCGTGGATGTTGTCGTTGTAGATCTCGCAGAAAGAGACCCAGACGGAGAACCTGACGTTGGAGTCCACGTCGAGACAGAAGCTGTCCTCAGAGACGCTGCTGTCTGTGCTGAGAGAGGAGCCTGACACACACACACACACACACACACACACACACACACACACACACACACACACACACACACACACACCACACACACACACAACACACACACACACACACACACACACACACACACACACACACACACACACACACACACACACACACACACACACACACACACACACACACACACACACACACACACACACACACACACACACACCTGTTGTTATACATACCCAGGATAGTATTGACCCTAACAAACGTTGAGTGTTAAGGTTCCAGAGTTACTGACCATCGAGGAAAGTTGATCTTCCAGACGTCTGACTCCTGTCGCTCTGCAGAGACGGAGAGGAGACAAACACTAGTACACAGCAGTAACTAATAGTACATATTAGTACACAGCAGTAACTAATAGTACATATTAGTACACAGCAGTAACTGATAGTACATACTAGTACACAGCAGTAACTAATAGTACATATTAGTACACAGCAGTAACTGATAGTACATACTAGTACACAGCAGTAACTGATAGTACATACTAGTACACAGCAGTAACTGATAGTACATATTAGTACACAGCAAACTAGTACTAGTAGAAGTACTGATAGTACATACTAGTACACAGCAGTAACTGATAGTACATATTAGTACACAGCAGTAACTGATAGTACATACTAGTACACAGCAGTAACTGATAGTACATATTAGTACACAGCAGTAACTAATAGTACATATTAGTACACAGCAGTAACTGATAGTACATATTAGTACACAGCAGTAACTGATAGTACATATTAGTACACAGCAGTAACTGATAGTACATACTAGTACACAGCAGTAGTATTACTACCTCTTTGAGCAGCCTCAGCAGGCTCCTCTTGCTGCTGCAGTATCAGTACTATGAGTACGGCCAGCTCGGTACGCTGATGGCCGGCACCCGCCCTTAATTTTTTTTAAACGGCATCATGTAAGTTGCGCTGACAGGCGACAGAGGTCCACAGTTGCCCCGCAGCGAGGCTCCCCCCGCCCTCCCGTAGACAGTTCACGAGCTCAGTCATTTCATAACACCAAAGATGGGTCGCGGTAAACGCTCTGAAGTGAGGCTCCACTACACTAAAAAATAAAAAGACAATTGGGCACAGTGTTAATAGCTTGCCACAGGCAAAGCTCAGTTAAAATAAAGCACAGCTATTGTGCAATACATTTGTATTGCATGTATATTTTTTATTTGTAACAATTTCAGTTAAAGCTGAAAAGAATAAAGATATTATCTAAACGTTTGACCTCTTTCTTTTACAATTTTGGAATCGAAACGGGGAATCGATAAGAACCGGAATTGATAAGCAGAACCGGAATCGGAATCGGAATCGATAAATTTCAAACGATACCCATCCCTAATGAGTACACAGTGGGAGTTTCTCCATGTCGAGTAAAGCTGTTCCAGAGCCACCATTTCAAGCATGCTACGTCATCGAGTGCCGCCGAAGGACTCTTCCAATCTCCAGCATACTTGGAAATCTACCGAGCCCGGTGTCCTTCGTTTGGAGACATGTCGAGGCTGCACATGTGTAGACTCCGCGGTCTTAAAATCCCCACAATGCTTTGCGCACGGACCAATTTCCCCAAATCTGTGGTGGAAGATGTAAGAGGCGGGGCCTCTCGTATGACGCACACCTGCTCGCCTGTTCCACTCTTTGTTTTCCGAATGCTAGGAAGGATTCTTGCCTCGCTTCTGAAGCAAGTGACTCAGCAGACATGTGCTACCAAGCAAGCGTACTCGACATTGAGAAACACCCAGTATCAGTACTATATTAGTACACAGTATTAGTACACAGTATTAGTACACAGTATTAGTACTTCTTTGAGCAGCCTCAGCAGGCTCCTCTTGCTGCTGCTCTCGGTCGCCTGCTGCTCGCTCGTCAGGCGGGTGAAGTCCCTGCAGCGCTGAGGCTTCAGGTCGCTGCGGGGGTAGACCCGCCCCTCGATGCTGTTGAAGATCACCGACAGAGAGCGAGGCAGCAGACCTGAGTCGTGCTCCGGACCTGAGGCACACGGGGGGGGAGAACACGTAAAGAGACAGGCTGCTTCAACTCCAGCCCCTGAAGCACCCTGCTGTGCAGCACCAGGTGTCCTACAGGTGAGCACCAGGTGTTCTACAGGTGAGCACCAGGTGTTCTACAGGTGAGCACCAGGTGTTCCACAGATGAGCACCAGGTGTCCTACAGGTGAGCACCAGGTGTTCCACAGATGAGCACCAGGTGTCCTACAGGTGAGCACCAGGTGTCCTACAGGTGATCACCAGGTGTTCTACAGGTGAGCACCAGGTGTCCTACAGGTGAGCACCAGGTGTCCTACAGGTGAGCACCAGGTGTCCCACAGGTGAGCACCAGGTGTCCTACAGGTGAGCACCAGGTGTCCTACAAGTGAGCACCAGGTGTCCCACAGGTGAGCACCAGGTGTCCTACAGGTGAGCACCAGGTGTCCTACAGGTGATCACCAGGTGTCCTACAGGTGAGCACCAGGTGTCCTACAGGTGAGCACCAGGTGTTCTACAGGTGAGCACCAGGTGTTCTACAGGTGAGCACCAGGTGTTCTACAGGTGAGCACCAGGTGTCCCACAGGTGAGCACCAGGTGTTCTACAGGTGATCACCAGGTGTCCTACAGGTGAGCACCAGGTGTCCTACAGGTGAGCACCAGGTGTTCTACAGGTGAGCACCAGGTGTTCTACAGGTGAGCACCAGGTGTTCTACAGGTGAGCACCAGGTATCCCACAGGTGAGCACCAGGTGTTCTACAGGTGAGCACCAGGTGTTCTACAGGTGAGCACCAGGTGCCCCTGAAGCACACTGCTGTGCAGCACCAGGTGTCCTACAGGTGAGCACCAGGTGTCCTACAGGTGAGCACCAGGTGTTCGACAGGTGAGCACCAGGTGTCCTACAGGTGAGCACCAGGTGTTCTACAGGTGAGCACCAGGTGTTCTACAGGTGAGCACCAGGTGTTCTACAGGTGAGCACCAGGTGTTCCACAGGTGAGCACCAGGTGTCCTACAGGTGAGCACCAGGTGTCCTACAGGTGATCACCAGGTGTCCTACAGGTGAGCACCAGGTGTTCTACAGGTGAGCACCAGGTGTCCTACAGGTGAGCACCAGGTGTCCTACAGGTGAGCACCAGGTGTCCCACAGGTGAGCACCAGGTGTCCTACAGGTGAGCACCAGGTGTCCTACAGGTGAGCACCAGGTGTCCCACAGGTGAGCACCAGGTGTCCTACAGGTGAGCACCAGGTGTCCTACAGGTGATCACCAGGTGTCCTACAGGTGAGCACCAGGTGTCCTACAGGTGAGCACCAGGTGTTCTACAGGTGAGCACCAGGTGTTCTACAGGTGAGCACCAGGTGTTCTACAGGTGAGCACCAGGTGTCCCACAGGTGAGCACCAGGTGTTCTACAGGTGAGCACCAGGTGTTCTACAGGTGAGCACCAGGTGCCCCTGAAGCACACTGCTGTGCAGCACCAGGTGTCCTACAGGTGAGCACCAGGTGTCCTACAGGTGAGCACCAGGTGTTCGACAGGTGAGCACCAGGCGTCCTACAGGTGAGCACCAGGTGTTCCACAGGTGAGCACCAGGTGTTCCACAGGTGAGCACCAGGTGTTCCGCAGGTGAGCACCAGGTGTTCTACAGGTGAGCACCAGGTGTTCTACAGGTGAGCACCAGGTGTTCCACAGGTGAGCACCAGGTGTTCCACAGGTGAGCACCAGGTGTTCCGCAGGTGAGCACCAGGTGCCCCTGAAGCTGCAGAAAGGTGGTGTTTCCTGTGAGGTGTGTTTCTGACCCAGGAAGGTGAAGGTCTTCCCAGCGTTGGTGACTCCGTAGGTGAAGACCAGACAGTTTCCTCCAATCAGAACGTCCCGCACCAGACCTCGGACCGAGCCCTCGAACACCTTCCTCTGACTCGCCTCGGGGTCAAACACCTGACACACACACACACACAGTAAATACTGCATCTGGGTCTAAAGCTCAACCTGAGACAGACAGGTGTGTTTACCTGAGTGAGGTGTGTTTACCTGAGTGAGGTGTGTGTGTTTACCTGAGTGAGGTGTGTTTACCTGAGTGAGGTGTGTTTACCTGAGTGAGGTGTGTGTGTTTACCTGAGTGAGGTGTGTTTACCTGAGTGAGGTGTGTTTACCTGAGTGAGGTGTGTTTACCTGAGTGAAGGTGAACCTCTGAGTTGTCTGGGGGAGGGACTTTGATTGACAGCTGCGGGGGGCCCTTAGCACCACGGTGTCCGGCCCCTCGATGCTCACACACTCCTGGATCACATGCTGCTGCCACGAGAACAATTAAGTATATCTTATTATGTGTGTGTGTGTGTGTGTGTGTGTGTGTGTGTGTGTGTTAGGGCTGCAACAAACGACTAATTTGATAATCGATTAATGAAACGATTAATCGACTATTCGGACTATTACTGTCTGCCTTGCACAATTTCTCAAGCGCTCTGATTTAGCCATCAACCTTTAGATGTAGCTTGAGGTTGTTTCAGGCATGTGGAAACTAACAAGACAATAAAGATGAAGACTTGATTCAAAAATACATATATTATTAACTTAACACATTTTGAACAAAACTAACATTGCTTTTTATTTAAATAAAATAAATAATATTTCACATCAAAAGAAACAACAATGTTTTAACAAATGGTATTAAATAATCTGAAGACAGAACTGTGAACAGAATAGCTGAAACTTTAACTAACTAACTAACTCAGTTTCCTCTCATCATGAACCCGTGTTTGTATCACGGTGTTAACTCGTGTGTTGCTGCTAGCATACAGAACACGTGACGGGGAAACGTTCCTCTGGACGGAGCTACAGAGCTGCTAGAGAGACAGACCGGTGCATTCCTCCGTCTGGATGTGGAGCACTTTGATAAATGTTTAGACAAACTGCTCGTGTTCCCGCCCTCACATGCTGAACTCTGATTGGTCCCGCCCTCACATACTGAACTCTGATTGGACTTTAGACAACGAGCATCGAGACGGGTAAAGTTTAACCACCTCGGAGCGCGTTCTCTCCGCCATCTCCTCCGTGTGTTGCTGCATGGAGCAGCTGTGTGTGTGTGTGTGTTGCTGCATGTAGCAGCTGTGTGTGTGTGTGTGTGTTGCTGCATGTAGCAGCTGTGTGTGTGTGTGTGTGTTGCTGCATGGAGCAGCTGCGTGTGTGTGTGTTGCTGCATGTAGCAGCTGTGTGTGTGTGTGTGTGTGTTGCTGCATGTAATAGCTGTGTGTGTGTGTGTGTGTTGCTGCATGTAGCAGCTGTGTGTGTGTGTGTGTGTGTGTGTTGCTGCATGGAGCAGCTGTGTGTGTGTGTGTGTGTTGCTGCATGGAGCAGCTGTGTGTGTGTGTGTGTGTGTTGCTGCATGGAGCAGCTGTGTGTGTGTGTGTGTTGCTGCATGGAGCAGCTGTGTGTGTGTGTGTGTTGCTGCATGGAGCAGCTGTGTGTGTGTGTGTGTTGCTGCATGGAGCAGCTGTGTGTGTGTGTGTTGCTGCATGGAGCAGCTGTGTGTGTGTGTGTGTGTGGGTGTGTTGCTGCATGTAGCAGCTGTGTGTGTGTGTGTGTGTGTTGCTGCATAGCAGCTGTGTGTGTGTGTGTGTGTGTGTTCTGCATGTAGCAGCTGTGTGTGTGTGTGTGTGTGTTGCTGCATGGAGCAGCTGTGTGTGTGTGTGTGTGTGTGTGTTGCTGCATGTAGCAGCTGTGTGTGTGTGTGTGTTGCTGCATGGAGCAGCTGTGTGTGTGTGTGTGTTGCTGCATGTAGCAGCTGTGTGTGTGTGTGTGTGTGTTGCTGCATGGCAGCTGTGTGTGTGTGTGTGTGTGTGTGTGTTGCTGCATGTAATAGCTGTGTGTGTGTGTTGCTGCATGTAGCAGCTGTGTGTGTGTGTGTGTGTTGCTGCATGTAATAGCTGTGTGTGTGTGTGTTGCTGCATGTAGCAGCTGTGTGTGTGTGTGTTGCTGCATGTAGCAGCTGTGTGTGTGTGTGTGTGTGTTGCTGCATGTAATAGCTGTGTGTGTGTGTGTTGCTGCATGGGAGCAGCTGTGTGTGTGTGTGTGTTGCTTGCATGTAGCAGCTGTGTGTGTGTGTGTGTTGCTGCATGTAGCAGCTGTGTGTGTGTGTGTGTTGCTGCATGTAGCAGCTGGGTGTGTGTGTGTGTGTGTGTTGCTACATGTAGCAGCTGTGTGTGTGTGTTGCTACATGTAGCAGCTGTGTGTGTGTGTGTTGCTACATGGAGCAGCTGTGTGTGTGTGTGTGTGTTGCTGCATGTAGCAGCTGTGTGTGTGTGTGTTGCTACATGTAGCAGCTGTGTGTGTGTGTGTGTGTGTGTGTGTGTTGCTACATGTAGCAGCTGTGTTTGTGTGTGTTGCTACATGTAGCAGCTGTGTGTGTGTGTGTTGCTACATGTAGCAGCTGTGTGTGTGTGTGTGTTTGCTGCATGTAGCAGCTGTGTGTGTGTGTTGCTACATGTAGCAGCTGTGTGTGTGTGTGTTGCTGCATGGAGCAGCTGTGTGTGTGTGTGTTGCTGCATGGAGCAGCTGTGTGTGTGTGTGTGTTGCTGCATGGAGCAGCTGTGTGTGTGTGTTGCTACATGTAGCAGCTGTGTGTGTGTGTTGCTGCATGTAGCAGCTGTGTGTGTGTGTTGCTACATGTAGCAGCTGTGTGTGTGTGTTGCTGCATGTAGCAGCTGTGTGTGTGTGTTGCTGCATGTAGCAGCTGTGTGTGTGTGTTGCTACATGTAGCAGCTGTGTGTGTGTGTTGCTACATGTAGCAGCTGTGTGTGTGTGTGTGTTGCTACATGTAGCAGCTGTGTGTGTGTGTTGCTACATGTAGCAGCTGTGTGTGTGTGTGTGTTGCTACATGTAGCAGCTGTGTGTGTGTGTTGCTACATGTAGCAGCTGTGTGTGTGTTGCTGCATGTAGCAGCTGTGTGTGTGTGTTGCTACATGTAGCAGCTGTGTGTGTGTGTGTGTGTTGCTGCATGTAGCAGCTGTGTGTGTGTGTTGCTGCATGTAGCAGCTGTGTGTGTGTTGCTGCATGTAGCAGCTGTGTGTGTGTTGCTGCATGTAGCAGCTGTGTGTGTGTGTGTGTTCTGCATGTAGCAGCTGTGTGTGTGTGTTGCTGCATGTAGCAGCTGTGTGTGTGTGTGTGTGTTGCTGCATGTAGCAGCTGTGTGTGTGTTGCTACATGTAGCAGCTGTGTGTGTGTGTTGCTACATGTAGCAGCTGTGTGTGTGTGTGTGTGTTGCTGCATGTAGCAGCTGTGTGTGTGTTGCTGCATGTAGCAGCTGTGTGTGTGTGTTGCTGCATGGAGCAGCTGTGTGTGTGTGTGTTGTTGCATGTAGCAGCTGTGTGTGTGTTGCTGCATGTAGCAGCTGTGTGTGTTGCTGCATGTAGCAGCTGTGTGTGTGTTGCTGCATGTAGCAGCTGTGTGTGTGTGTGTGTTGCTGCATGTAGCAGCTGTGTGTGTGTTGCTGCATGTAGCAGCTGTGTGTGTGTTGCTGCATGTAGCAGCTGTGTGTGTGTTGCTGCATGTAGCAGCTGTGGTGTGTGTGTGTTGCTGCATGTAGCAGCTGTGTGTGTGTGTTGCTACATGTAGCAGCTGTGTGTGTGTGTTGCTACATGTAGCAGCTGTGTGTGTGTTGCTACATGTAGCAGCTGTGTGTGTGTGTTGCTGCATGTAGCAGCTGTGTGTGTGTGTTGCTACATGTAGCAGCTGTGTGTGTGTGTGTGTGTTGCTACATGTAGCAGCTGTGTGTGTGTGTTGCTACATGTAGCAGCTGTGTGTGTGTGTTGCTGCATGTAGCAGCTGTGTGTGTGTTGCTGCATGTAGCAGCTGTGTGTGTGTGTTGCTGCATGTAGCAGCTGTGTGTGTGTGTGTTGCTACATGTAGCAGCTGTGTGTGTGTGTTGCTACATGTAGCAGCTGTGTGTGTGTGTGTGTGTGTGTGTTGCTGCATGTAGCAGCTGTGTGTGTGTTGCTGCATGTAGCAGCTGTGTGTGTGTGTGTGTGTGTGTTGCATGTAGCAGCTGTGTGTGTGTGTTGCTGCATGTAGCAGCTGTGTGTGTGTGTTGCTGCATGTAGCAGCTGTGTGTGTGTTGCTGCATGTAGCAGCTGTGTGTGTGTGTTGCTGCATGTAGCAGCTGTGTGTGTGTGTTGCTGCATGTAGCAGCTGTGTGTGTGTGTTGCTGCATGTAGCAGCTGTGTGTGTGTGTGTTGCTGCATGTAGCAGCTGTGTGTGTGTGTGTGTGTTGCTGCATGTAGCAGCTGTGTGTGTGTTGCTGCATGTAGCAGCTGTGTGTGTGTTGCTGCATGTAGCAGCTGTGTGTGTGTGTGTTGCTACATGTAGCAGCTGTGTGTGTGTGTTGCTGCATGTAATAGCTGTGTGTGTGTGTGTGTGTTGCTGCATGTAGCAGCTGTGTGTGTGTGTTGCTGCATGTAGCAGCTGTGTGTGTGTGTGTTGCTGCATGTAATAGCTGTGTGTGTGTGTGTGTTGCTGCATGTAGCAGCTGTGTGTGTGTGTGTTGCTGCATGTAGCAGCTGTGTGTGTGTGTTGCTACATGTAGCAGCTGTGTGTGTGTGTTGCTGCATGTAATAGCTGTGTGTGTGTGTTGCTGCATGTAGCAGCTGTGTGTGTGTTGCTGCATGTAGCAGCTGTGTGTGTGTGTTTGCTACATGTAGCAGCTGTGTGTGTGTGTGTTGCTGCATGTAGCAGCTGTGTGTGTTGTTGCTGCATGTAGCAGCTGTGTGTGTTGCTGCATGTAGCAGCTGTGTGTGTGTGTGTTGCTGCATGTAGCAGCTGTGTGTGTGTGTTGCTGCATGTAGCAGCTGTGTGTGTGTGTGTGTGTGTGTGTGTGTGTGTGTAAACTGCCCCGCCCCCTCGCACACAGACGAGAGAGATCTCAATAATACATGACCTATATTTTTAAATGTCTCCAGTAACGATAAAAAGACCGATAACGTTGGAGCTTAGCGTAAAACACAGGTGATGACGTCACCAACGAATCGACGACTGCATTAGTTGGCAACTAATTTGGTCATCGATTTTAATCGATTAAGTGGGATTAGTTGTTGCACCCCTAGTGTGTACGAGAGTGTGTGTGTGCGTGTGTGTGTGTGCGTGCTACCTGTGAGTCTCTGCTCTCTCTCTCTGCTTTAGTGAACGGTCGGACCCTGAGGAACACCTGCAGGTTCTCCGTCTGGACGACCTCCTGCAGACACAGAGCTACAGCTTTCATTCCTTCTTTAGTCTTTAAATATAACTAATCTATAATGCCGTTTGTTTTAGATGACACTGCCAGGAATAGAAGTATACAAATCACTATAATGCCGTTTGTTTTAGATGACACTGCCAGGAATAGAAGTATACAAATCACTATAATGCCATTTGTTTTAGATGACACTGCCAGGAATAGAAGTATACAAATCACTATAATGCCATTTGTTTTAGATGACACTGCCAGGAATAGAAGTATACAAATCACTATAATGCCATTTGTTTTAGATGACACTGCCAGGAATAGAAGTATACAAATCACTATAATGCCGTTTGTTTTAGATGACACTGCCAGGAATAGAAGTATACAAATCACTATAATGCCGTTTGTTTTAGATGACACTGCCAGGAATAGAAGTATACAAATCACTATAATGCCGTTTGTTTTAGATGACACTGCCAGGAATAGAAGTATACAAATCACTATAATGACCAACAACATTAATATGATGGCTTTCATTATGATACAATAATACTCTGCAGACCGAGTACTTTAAAGGTCCTCTATCACCCTCCTCTTCATCAATGTATCCCAGGTCTCAGATATATACAGAGCCGGTCTCTGATTGGCTGAAACACCAAACAGATCATTGCAGCATTACCCATAATCCCCTCTGTTTCAGCCCTGTTTCCAAAGTGCTGATTCTCTGTCTGTTACTTTAGATGAAAGTAAGGAGCCCCTCCCCACGCCCCTCTGAGAGACATTTGGTTACAAAGAACTCAATGGAGCTCTAGAGGAGATTCAGGTGATAAGGGGGGGGGGGTTACCTTGGTTGCTGATTGGCTAATGGTTACACAAGACAACACATCGTTATGACATCATCAAGTGACCAAAATCTGATCAGACATGTGTCCCCTCTGTGTAAAGACAGAGCCTCTTCTGCATAATAGGTGACCTTCAAAACAGACAGGTGAGAGACAGAGAGGTGAGAGAGAGAGAGGTGTGAGAGAGAGAGAGGTGGAGAGAGAGAGAGGTGAGAGACAGAGAGGTGAGAGACAGACAGACAGAGAGGTGAGAGACAGACAGGTAGAGAGAGACAGGTGAGAGACAGACAGACAGAGAGGTGAGAGACAGACAGGTGGGAGAGACAGACAGACAGAGAGGTGAGAGACAGACAGGTGAGAGACAGACAGGTGAGAGACAGACAGACAGAGAGGTGAGAGACAGACAGGTAGAGAGAGACAGGTGAGAGACAGACAGACAGAGAGGTGAGAGACAGACAGGTGAGAGACAGACAGGTGAGAGACAGACAGGTGAGAGACAGACAGGTGAGAGACAGACAGGTGAGAGACAGACAGGTGAGAGACAGACAGACAGAGAGGTGAGAGACAGACAGGTGAGAGACAGACAGACAGAGAGGTGAGAGACAGACAGGTGAGAGACAGACAGGTGAGAGACAGACAGGTGAGAGACAGACAGGTGAGAGACAGACAGACAGAGAGGTGAGAGACAGACAGGTGAGAGACAGACAGGTGAGAGACAGACAGGTGAGAGACAGACAGGTAGAGACAGACAGGTGAGAGACAGACAGGTAGAGACAGACAGACAGACAGGTGAGAGACAGACAGACAGAGAGGTGAGAGACAGAGAGGTGAGAGACAGACAGGTAGAGACAGACAGGTGAGAGACAGACAGACAGAGAGGTGAGAGACAGACAGGTAGAGAGAGACAGGTGAGAGACAGACAGGTAGAGACAGACAGGTGAGAGACAGACAGGTGGAGACAGACAGGTGAGAGACAGACAGGTAGAGACAGACAGGTGAGAGACAGACAGACAGACAGGTGAGAGACAGACAGGTAGAGAGAGACAGGTGAGAGACAGACAGGTGCGAGACAGACAGACAGAGAGGTGAGAGACAGACAGGTAGAGACAGACAGACAGGTGAGAGACAGACAGACAGAGAGGTGAGAGACAGACAGACAGGTGAGAGACAGACAGGTGAGAGACAGACAGACAGAGAGGTGAGAGACAGACAGGTAGAGACAGACAGGTGAGAGACAGACAGGTGAGAGACAGACAGACAGAGAGGTGAGAGACAGACAGGTAGAGACAGACAGGTAGAGACAGACAGGTGAGAGACAGACAGACAGAGAGGTGAGAGACAGACAGGTAGAGAGAGACAGGTGAGAGACAGACAGGTGAGAGACAGACAGACAGAGAGGTGAGAGACAGACAGGTAGAGACAGACAGGTAGAGACAGACAGGTGAGAGACAGACAGACAGAGAGGTGACAGACAGACAGGTAGAGACAGACAGGTAGAGACAGACAGGTGAGAGACAGACAGACAGACAGGTGAGAGACAGACAGGTAGAGAGACAGGTGAGAGACAGACAGGTGAGAGACAGACAGACAGACAGGTAGAGACAGACAGGTGAGAGACAGACAGACAGGTGAGAGACAGAGACAGACAGAGAGGTGAGAGACAGACAGACAGGTGAGAGACAGACAGGTGAGAGACAGACAGACAGAGAGGTGAGAGACAGACAGGTAGAGACAGACAGGTGAGAGACAGACAGGTGAGAGACAGACGACAGACAGAGAGGTGAGAGACAGACAGGTAGAGACAGACAGGTAGAGACAGACAGGTGAGAGACAGACAGACAGAGAGGTGAGAGACAGACAGGTAGAGACAGACAGGTGAGAGACAGACAGACAGAGAGGTGAGAGACAGACAGACAGAGAGGTGAGAGACAGACAGGTGAGAGACAGACAGGTAGAGAGAGACAGGTGAGAGACAGACAGACAGAGAGGTGAGAGACAGACAGGTGAGAGACAGACAGAGAGTTGAGAGACAGACAGAGAGGTGAGAGACAGACAGAGAGGTGAGAGACAGACAGACAGGTGAGAGACAGACAGGTGAGAGACAGACAGAGGTGAGAGACAGACAGAGGTGAGAGAGAGACAGACAGAGAGGTGAGAGACAGACAGACAGGTGAGAGACAGACAGGTGAGAGACAGACAGGTGAGAGACAGACAGAGAGGTGAGAGACAGACAGGTGAGAGCAGACAGACAGACAGGTGAGAGACAGACAGGTAGAGACAGACAGACAGACAGGTGAGAGACAGACAGAGAGGTGAGAGACAGACAGGTGAGAGACAGACAGACAGGTGAGAGACAGACAGACAGGTGAGAGACAGACAGAGAGGTGAGAGACAGACAGACAGGTGAGAGACAGACAGGTGAGAGACAGACAGACAGACAGGTGAGAGACAGACAGACAGGTGAGAGACAGACAGACAGGTGAGAGACAGACAGGACAGACAGACAGGTGAGACAGACAGACAGGTGAGAGACAGACAGACAGGTGAGAGACAGACAGACAGACAGGTGAGAGACAGACAGACAGGTGAGAGACAGACAGGTACAGACAGACAGGTGAGAGAGACAGACAGGTGAGAGACAGCAGACAGG